GATTTAAATATAATTATTAAAAGATAATATGAGCAAGGTTTATAAGACATGTATATCCTGTCTATAAAGCTAACTTTGGGTTGAAGAATCGCTGGAGGCAGCGACCATTAATTTTATTTGTCGATAAATTTTCTGGAGGGTGGTAAGGAATGTCCACTATGAAAAGGTTGCCTTTTAAAAAATATTTACACATGTTTACACGCAATTTACAAAAAACAAACAAACAAACAAACTCAAAAAACCGCTTTGTTTCCGTTAATAAAAGAAGTACGTTTATGATATATTAGAGAACAGTCTGTACTCCTACTCTTTGTAAAGTAGATACGTTAGTCCCTAAAATGGTATCAGGCGCTCGATAATAACATTGATATGATTATTACAATCTATCACTAAAGACATTGCCCCCATTGAGGCGAATAAGAAATCTTGACGTGAACCACTATTTGAGGATGTAAAAGTAGCGACTGCCAAGAAGGCGCTTTTCAACTTCTGAATTATACACTACATTTCTAATAAAATGATGCATCTTCTGGTCTGTGTTTTCGCATAAGCCCTTTCAAAACATAAATCAGCTTGCCAAGTAAGACTTAATTTCCTCATTATCCTTAGGCATTGTTGAGGAGCCATTAGTGCCCTCCCCGATAGACTTTCCCGACTTAAAAGACAAAGCAAGAACACAGAACTGCTAACATACCTTTTACATTGTTATATTCAACCCAACATTATAATACATATTAATCTCACAAAAACAGTTATACAGACACAGTATCGGTATACAAAACCCATGTACAAGCATAGTTGTTAACATATGTTTCAGCAGTCTATGTTGAAATAATATTATATATTTGAAGCACTTTTATACAATGGATTATCAGCTGTTGTCGAGTCCATGGATAGTTTCTGTGGATGATAAATAAAACACTTTTAGAAGACGGGAACTGAAATATTTCATTGTTCAATAGTCACCACTGTAACAACAACAATAACAACAACAACAACAAAAACATCTTCAACAGCAACAATAACAACAACACTAACAACAACATTTTGTGTGTGTTTTAGTAAGGTTTTACAGCGCTCGCAACTGCATTATACATAAGGCTATATGAGCACCAAAGGGTTGATATCAACAGAGAAGTCCAAACGGGGAATCAGGCTTACTCTACTCACCTCTCTAGCCTCAACAGCACAAAGCCTGCTTCGACTATCAAGGCACCCCGGAAATAGCAGTTCACAAGAGAGTGACAAACATACAAAAGAAGTAGAGGGAAAATAACGATAGTAAGGATAAGGAAAGAAAAAGCAGCAGTTCCTCATATGTTGTTCCGGCACAATGTGAGTATGGCATTGATAAATCAGCCCATTTACAATTTTACTGTGCATAAGAACATTTTAATGTCCCCCTTTTCGGAATGGCTTTAAACCTCAGCCAGTAGGACAGCCCTTT